TGCGCGGGGCGGAGGGGTCTGGCCGGACGGATCCGCGCACCGGCCGGATGGAGGAAGAAGAGGTGAAGGATGTTTTTCCTGTTTTTTTGATTTACCAAGTTTCTGTCCATATTCCACCTGGATCAGTTTCAACCAATCAAACTCCTCTTCTTCAAAATTTTCAGTGCTAAGCACCATTCCTTGTACAAGCAACTGAGAAAAAAATTTAAGCAACTGAGTTGTCACGTAGGATAAGTCCAATGACAATTTCTAACAAGCACCGTTGCTTGTCAGTAAGCAACACACTAAGAACGTGCCGCTACGAGTAATTAATACACTAACTTTAAATATAAAAAAAAAATATTTTAATTACTGTGATAGTTGTTGGACATAATTACAAATAAAAATAATCGGTTGAGGTTATTTTAAAAAATTCAAAATACATCTTAGGAGGTGTGTTTAGAAATCAATTTAACCATATAAAATTAACTTTTAAAATAAGTATTATTTCACTTATATATATTATTTTGAATTTTTGATCTTACCATTAGAGACTAATGCACTTCATCAGGTTAAGGACTGATCACCTTTAACATGAAATTTATAAAATTAAATATCTGTGAGTGATCTAATAGTGAGTAACATGATGAATTCAATAAAAATCAACAATCATTAATTAGAATAGGTTCTAATGCTATTTTAAAATGGATTTTAACTTAATTTAACTTTATAAAATTAAATTTTAAAGTCATTTGCTATCAGATTATTATTATTGGATTATTCAAAAGTATAAAGTCTTGCAAATTTTACACTTAATATGTTTAATTTTCAAGTAAAATATTGTGTTAAAGATCTCACAACAGCTAGTGATAAGGTCATAATAAAGTACATAAGACTACAAGTTAGATATAATTCTCACCTTATAAATTAGTTTTATAAGATTGAGTTAGGTTCAAATTTACTTTTTTAAGAAATCTCTTTCCGCTCCTTTGTAAAATGGTGAGCAATTATTAAATCTTTTCATGAAACAATTATATAAAAATATATGTGGGAAATTAGAAGATCCACAACAACATTTTTTTTTTTGAAATTATTGCCACTCGTAAAAGGTTTTTTAGCTATCCAAAAAATAAGAAACAAAAGTTTACAATGGGACCAAGACGTTTAACTCAATTAGTTGAATAAGATTTATCAATAAAATATATACAAAATTCGATTCTAATGAATTCAATGTTAAACAAAAAAAGATAAATATAAAAAATTAATGAATCTTAGATCCAGACAAGGAACTCTCATCTATTATTATCATTGAATTTATATATATATATATATATATATATAATATATTACATAAATAAAGCTTGAACCATATAAAAACTATATATGACATTTATTAAAATAAACTAGCATTTTAGATCATAAAATTTTGGGACATTGTCATACTCATAGTAGCCCTAAATTAGAAGAAAAAATCAAATAAGTCCATGAAAATTAAATTTGTTAGTCATGTTAATCTTCTTGTCAACTCTGTTATATATGGACCATAACGATAGTAATTTATAAAATTTCAAAACTATAATGATAATAAATTGTACATATCAGAGGCTAAATTAAGTGACCGTAATTTTAATTAATTAATTAATTTTACTATTTTCTAATTTTAAAGACTATTATGTCAATGCCCCATATTTCAGGGACTGAATAGTAATTTGATCAATTTTATTCTTACAATAAAGGTAATCTTATCTTCCCTTATCTGTTGTATCATTTTATCTGTCAGCTGCTATAATTCTCTAGTATTATTATTATCTTCTATATGGTCTCTTCTAAAAGCACGAGCATTATTTTACACAACTAAGTTTTACGCATTAAAATCAAAATATGTGGCAATTAACTGATTGAGCAGTGAAATCCAAATAGGGACGTGTTTGCTTACAGGGACATCACAACAACTTTCGATATTTTTCTTCTCAACAAACAGTGACATCTTTACTGATAAAGACATTACAAAGAGCTTGCCTTCACCTGCCCTAGAGTAAAGTAACATGCATTAATTTAAGAAACTTCGTAAATGAATTATTTTGCTCTCTTTATTTTTCTTCTATGACAATTATTTTTATAAATAAGTTGAGACAAAATTAACAATCATTTTGAGATAAAAATTAAGATTGCATTACTTAAACTCTTTGATATACTTATTAGATTGATCTAATAATGAAGAGTTAAGATAATATACATATAATTTTAAGCTCAAATTCTTGTCGTTGCTGTAATTTATATAAATAAAAATAATAATAATAAATAAAATAAAATAAAAACACTTGAATTTAAAGTTGTAAACTAAAGTCGTGAAAAAAAAAACTAAGTAGAATCAATATTATTGTTAGTCAAAGTGAAATGATTAATTAACTATTCTAACCGAGTAATATGTGTTGTAATCCAACATTTTGATAAGATAAGAAATGTTAGTCACATTCTTTCTGACATTCTTTTAATATTATTGATTGAATTTTTGTTGAAAGTTATAAATTTTAATGGATTCTACTTTAATATAATGAATTTTTCCTTATTTAATGTTAGAATTTCCTAAATTTATAAATTCGAATAACTTTTTACTAATAGTAATAATAGAGATAATTAAAGAAGGTGTCGTCGATTACTCTTGGCAAGAGAACGATCATTATTGTAGCAGTGACTAATCTCCTCGCTACGTTGGAGACACTTCAAAGGGTGGGATAGCTGGTCCCAAGATTTAACGCGGCTGCATACACAAGGCAAGATTCAAACCCCTGACCTTGCTTAAGCGTGGATCAAC